AGGGGAGCCGGCGTCCGGGGAGCCCCCGTCTGGCTCTGGCCGCGGCAAGAAGATCTTCGGCTGCTCCGAGTGCGAGAAGCTGTTCCGCTCCCCGCGAGACCTGGAGCGGCACGTGCTGGTGCACACTGGCGAGAAGCCGTTCCCGTGCCTGGAGTGCGGCAAGTTCTTCCGCCACGAGTGCTACCTCAAGCGCCACCGGCTGCTGCATGGCACCGAGCGGCCCTTCCCCTGCCACATCTGCGGCAAGGGCTTCATCACGCTCAGCAACCTCTCCAGGCACCTGAAGCTGCACCGGGGCATGGACTGACTGCCAGGCCGTGCCCTGCCCTCCACCCAGCCACCTGGACTCAGCCTGGACCAGGGGACCTCAGTACTGCGAGTGAGGCCCCGGCCCTCCAAATCCAAATCCAGACACAGGCCCTGAAATGAGGGGACCCTGACTGGAGAAGTCGAGGCCACCAAAAACCCACACAGGCCCCAGAGCTGGGGGACCACAAACAAACAGGGTCCTTAGCTGGGGCAGGGGAGCCCAAATCTATGGAGAGACTCCTGAGCCTGAGGTCCCTGAAATGAGTGTGGGTAGCCCTAAGTCCCCAAGACATGGGAACTTTGCAGTGAGCAATGGGTCTCCACAAGTACCTCTCATCTTGAGGGCCCTAATAATAAAAGATGGGCACCTGCCCCACCAAGGGAAGACTGCCCCATTCCCTGAGAGCCATCATTCCCAACGACCTTGATCTGGAGAATGTGGAGGGAACATGTTCCTGAATTTTCCTAGATCTCCTCCAAATGCTACCACCAGAGTCACTGATGACCCCAGAAAATGGATATAGCCGAAATCTGCCTTTCCCCGTTTTCATTCCCTGTACTGAAAGAGGGACCAGGGTAGATGCCCCCTGCCCTCTAATCCCCCCTCCCTGACTGTGGAATGGATCGACCTTAATGATCTTCCCCACCCCCAAACACTAGAATAGACTGGCCTGAAATACCCTTGTCCAGTAGGATGGACTGATCTGTATGCACACACCCCCATCACATGGAATGGGCTGGTCTAGGCTGTGGCCTGCACCCCACCTTCCTTAGAGTGAATAGGGCAGATACTCCTCCCTTTTCCTGTAGCGTGTGGACCGGTCCACGCCATTCTTTGTCCTGTGAACTCATCTGAGTGGGAAGTGGCGGACACTGGGGTTTCCCTCCCTCTCTCCGTGGCACCCATTGGTCTTTCCATCTCTGTTGGTTTGTCTGTCTCTGTCTTCCTCCCGACCCCAAGGGGAAGGGGGCACTTGGCTACGGGGTGCCCCTGTGAGCCTAGACCTCGTCCCCTCGTCCCTCTCCCCAATGTTTTCAGGACCCCCAATAAACCTTGTCCTGTCAGTCGCTGACGCCTCATTTTCTGATCCTTGGCTCCAGGGGGATGGGGAATGTCTTAGGAAAGACCACCTAAATACAGACAGGTCCTCGTTTTCTCCTGAGAAGTTTCAAAGCTTTGAATAGTACATGACCTTTAAAATTAGAGTCGGTTTAGGCCAGGCTCCGTGGCTCACGCTTATAATCCCAGCACTTGGGGAGGGCAAGGCGTGCAGATAACCTGAGGTCAGGAGTTCAAGACCGTGCCTGGCCAACATGGCGAAACCCCATTTCTACTAAAAATACAAAAATTAGCCGGGTGTGATGGCACATTCCTGTAATCCCAGCTACTCGAGCGGCTGAGGCAGGAGGATCTCTTGAACCTGGGAGGCAGAGGTTGCAGTGAGCCAAGATCACACCACTGCACTCCAGCCTGAGGGACAGAGCGAGACTCCATTCAAAACTAAATAAATAAATAAATACATACATACATAAATAAAATTAGAGTTGGTTTCAATCAAAATGAGCCCGTCCCTTAAATACATGATCCACCTCCAACAGATAGACACGCCCCCTAGAAACTAGACACGCCCTTTAGAAGCCACCAGCCTTATAGGACACACCCCTTGGAAACCAAACTGCCTCATTACAGGCATGTCCGAGAAGAGGCCCCGACCCTTAGACGCTGCCTTAGACCCTACACCAAACCCCAATAATAGGACCTGTTCATCAGAGAATTGGGGGTGGGGGTGCCTTCAGACTGTCTCCCGCACACTGCATTGCGTTCCTGTACTGAGGGCTTATTCTGAGTCAGGCACTGAAACTCCCTGTGGGGATCATCCTGGCCCTCCTGGGGTTTACGTTCTGTCGTGTGGGCAACGGGCATGGAGAAAAGAGGAATCAAATAAATGCAGACAATAATTTCAGATCGTCATGAGCATTCTGAAGGCAATAGGGAAGGGTGGTAAGGAAGTGAATGGCCACCTTACTTTCTTTGCCACCTTAGATGGGGTGGTCCACGTGGGCTTCTCGGTGGAGGTGGCATTTGATCTGAGCCCTGAAGGGTAAGGGTGAGCAAGGACCGGCCAGGAGAATGCCCAAATGGACACAGGAGGAAAGTGAGCTCAGGGAGGGAAGGATGAGATGAGGTTAACAGGTAGGTAGAGGTCACATCACAGCGAGCCAGGCAAGCCAAAATAGGTGTTTGACTGTGTTCTCTGGGCAATGGGAAGCAAAGTGTTCATCGAGGAGGGAAGGGACCACCCCTGCACCTTATCGAAATCCCTGTGTCTGATGAGTGGAAACGAAGCTGCAGGACGCAGAGTCAGGAGACTGTAGCGCTCCTGCAGTCCGGGAGAAACTTGTGGGATCCTAAACCAGAGTGACGAACAGAAATCATGCCTGTAACCCCAGCACTTTAGGAGACCGAGGTGGGAGAATCGCTTGAGCCCAGGAGTTTGAGATCAGCCTAGGCAACATAGTGAGACCCTGTCTTTACTAAACATAACAAAATAAAACAAAAGAAAGAAATGGGTGGATTTCAGATGAACTCTGGAGTATGAATGCAGAGGACTGGTTGTGTGCATGTGTGTATTGGTTGGGGGTGAGTGTAATGGGAAGGGAGAAATCAGGAGTAAATGGTTGAGTGGTGGCATTTTTCATTAAGACCAGAAAACTGGGGGAGGACACGTTTAAGTAGGGGTTTAGGAGAATCAAAGCCTTCTCCCCTGGAGTTCCTTAAGATTTTTTTGTTTGTTTTTGAGACAGGGGCTCGCTCTGTTGCCCAGACTGGAGTGCAGTGGTGTGATCTCGGCTCCCAGCAACCTCCACCGCCTGTGTTCAAGAGATTCTCTTGCCTCAGCCTCCCAAGTAGCTGGGATTACAGATGTGCACCACTACACCCAGCTAATTTTTGTATTTTTAGTAGAGATGGGGTTTCAACTTGTTGGTCAGGTTGGTCTCGAACTCCTGACCTCAGGTGATTGATCTGCCCACCTCGGTCTCCCAAAGTGCTGGGAATACAGGTGTGAGCCACTGCACCCAGCTGGTTTCTTAAATTAAATTCCCTATAGGTTGCCATTCTCAAATACTGAACATACGTATATCCTGTGATGCAGTAATTCTACTGCTACGCATAAACGCTAACTCAAGTCCCCCTATACCCAGAGACGTACAAAAACATTCATAGCAGCAATATCAACCCCAAACTCATGACAACCAAAACGTCCATCAGCAATACAGTAAATAACGATGGTATATTATGCAATAGAATACTATACAGCAACCAGAATGAATGAGCTGTGGATAAACACAATATCATGAATGAAAGCTACAAAGACATAGGACCCGAAAAGCCAGAAACAGAGCATGATTTCATTTACATAACATTCAGGTCAGGTGCAGTGGCTCACACCTATAATCCCAGCACTTTGGAAGGCCAAGGCAGGAGGATTGCTTGAGTCCAGGAGTTCAAGACCAGCCTGGGCAACATGGCAAGACCCCATCTCTAGTAAAAATACAAAAAATAGACAGGTGTGGTGGCGTGTGCCTGTAGGCCCAGCTACTCGATGGGCTGAGACGGAAGGATCGCTGGAGCCTGGGGTGGGGGGACGGAGATTGCAGTGAGCCAAGATGATGCCACTGCATTCCAGCCTGGGCAACAAAGCAAGACCCTGTCTCAAAACAAAACAAAACAACCAAACAAACAAACAAAAAAGCAAGCCCATTATAATGCACATAAAACTAAACTGTAATATTGTTAAGGATACATTGTCAGTAGTAAAGCATATAAAAAAGCAAGGACAACATTGTCCTATAAAACTCAGAATAGTGGGCTTGACAAGTTAAGCGGGAGGGGATATCCTGGAAGTTTCCAGGGTTGCTGATAGCTGATAAAGTTCTATTTCTTATTCAGATGATCATTTTATAATTATTTATTCAATTGTGTGTTTGTATTGCGCATTTTTTCTCTGTGTGTCTTATATTTCACAAAGAAAATATTTCAGTCTGGGCGAGTTGACTCACGTCTGTAATCCCAGTAATTTCGGAGACTGAGGCAGGAGAATGACTTGAGCTCAGGAGTTCGAGACCAGCCTAGGCAATATAGTGAGATCCTGTCTCTACCAAAAAAAAAAAAAAAAAGAAAAGAAAGAAAAAACAGCATGGTGGTGCATGCCTGTAGTCCCAGTTACTTGGGAGGCTGAGCTGAGAGGATCACTTGAGCTTAGGAGGTCGAGGTTGCAGAGAGCTATGATGGTACCACTGCACTCCAGCATGGGCGACAGAGAGAGACCCCGTCTCAAAAATAAAAAATAAAACCGAACGTGGTGGCTCACGCCTGTAATCCCAGCACTTTTGGAGGCCGAGGCGGGCGGATCACCTGAGTTCAGGACCACCCTGGGCAACAGGGTGGAATCCTGCCTCTACTAAAAACACAAAAATTAGCTGGGTATGGTAGTGCACGCCTGTAATTCCAGCTACTCGGGAGGCTGAGGCGGGAGAATCGCTTGAACCCAGTAGGCAGAGGTTGCGGTGACCCGAGAACACGCCACTGCACTCCAGCCTGGGTGACAGAGCGAGACGTCCATCTCAAAAGAATACATAAATAAATGAAAATTTAAAAATTAAATATAAATTAAAAAAGAAAGAAAAAGGAAACTTTAAAGGAGGAAGACGTGTATTCCGGGAGGAGAAAACAAGTAATAGTTTAGCCCTCCAGCCAGACTTTTTGAATGGAGATCCACAGTTGCCTATTTGAAAAAGCTCAACCTTTGGGAATAAAATCAGCTAAACCTTAGAGATACTCCTCTCCACTCTGCAACCGACACTCAAAAACCAGACACGCTTTCTGGTTTAAAAAAAGAAAGAAAAGTATCTTCTTTCGAGAAACAAGGCCCGCCCACTTCGAAGAAGGCACCGCCCCCAGGGACAAGACCCGCCCACTCCGAGACACGCTTAGAGACAGGCTCAGCCCGGGAGATGCGCACTGGAAAGGCGCCAGCGTTGCCATGGAGATGGCCGCCGGCTGGGGAGTAATGAATAGGGACCTCGCGAGGCTGAGGTTCCCACCCACTTCACCTGCACCACAGTCCTTTCTCTTCTGGGGCGGTAACGAGAAGGACACATCCCATTTCCTCGGTGTCTCCCAAGTGCCCGGTGCTGGGCTGGACACTGCACCGAACGCGTCACATAGTGGCCCCATTTTATAGATGCGCTGACTGAGGCCGGGGTGGGGGGAGTGGTGGGAAGCGAGGAGAGGACAGGAGCGGGAATTTTACCCTGAGGACGATCTCAACCGTTGCAAAACATTAATTACTAGCCAGACGCCGGAGACTCACATGCCTGTGTTTGGCGAGCTGATTTCTGCGTGCAGACCTTGGTGCCAGCCAGCCCCCTGCACGCTTGCCGGAGCGGGCGTCTCCCCCGGGCCCCCAAGCCTTCTTCCTTTCAGGGACGGCCTCACATCCCAATACAGAAGCCCGAGACCGCCTCACTCCTCCCACCCTTCATCCCTTTTTATTCATCCACAAATGCTTGTTAAGCCCCTTGTCTGTTCCGGGCAGCCACCTGTGGGCAGAGCCGTTAAGCAAACAGGCAAAACAAGCCCTGCCCTCGCAGTTTTTATTCTAGTGTGAGGGGAGATAGGCAATCCACAGGACATTCACACGTTGCCTAGTGTGTCTTCGTGATTAAGCACCATGTTAAAAATGAAAGGCCGGCGCAGTGGCTCACACCTGTAATCCCAGCACTTAGGGAGGCCGAGGCGGGAGGATCACCTGAGGTCAGGAGTTCGAGATCAGCCTGGCCAACATGGCGAAACCCTGTCTCTACTAAAAACACAAAAAAGAATTAGCTGTGTATGGTGGCGGGCGCCTGTAATCCCAGCTACTCGGGAGGCTGAGGCAGGAGAATCGCTTGAACCCAGGAGGCGGAGGTTGCAGCGAGCCGAGATTGCGCCACTGCACTGCACTCCAGCCTGGGCGACAGAGCGAGATCCTGACTCAAAATAATAATAATAATAATAATAATAATAATA